GGGGGGGGGGGGTTCGGTTATTAAATTACGTTAATGATTGATTGATTTTTGTATTCATTTATTTATCTGATTATTTCCTCTTGAAATGTTGTGTTTGAATGAACTTGTTGAACTTCAGACAACTCACTTGACATTTGAATCTAAAACATGAAATATTTTCTTGATTTATAGAAAGATATATTTTCTTTCAACAGTGCCAGATTAAAAAAGATAATTAAAATGTACACACACACACACACACACACACACACACACACACACACACACACACACACACACACACGGTAAGCCTGTGGGGGAGGGGCTATGGGTTGCAGCGAAGGCAACAGCTAGTATTTGTTTACTCCACAGATGAGTGATAGACAACCTGATTTTGGTAACTTTCATTTTTTTAATTTAAATTTCAATATTGTCAAACAGTATATATTTTTGTTGTTATAAATAAAGTTGTTGAGTTTAAATCAACCGACTAAGCCTATGTTTGCAAACGGATAAATAGAACCGCGTCACATGGGGTTTTCCCTTTTGCTGTAGTGCGGCGGTGTGGAACCTTTTTCCTCTCAAGGGCCATGCCAATGTTTACACTGACATACACTAAATAATAAAGACTTTGTACCATGAATACTCTTGTTTATTAAATCTCTGCCCTCCTTCATTTCCCTTCAAACAGTAACTCTCACAGTCTATTGATGTTTAGGATTAAATACAATACATCTCTCGGCCTGTAGGAGGATTAGGAGGCCATGAGGTGGTAGTGTTTCCACATGTCTTAAACTCAACTGTGTATCTGCGTTGTTAGCGTCATACAGGCCTGATTTATGGCCTTTATCTTTATTAATTTGAGAGTATTATTAGACAGCAGGATTTCATTATGTCTGTAAGCATCTGTCATATAGTGGTGAACAAAACCCCATGAGTAAGGAAAGTAACAAATCAAAAGGACAAACAGGGTTTCAGTATCAGACGGAGTCAAACAAATAAAAGAAATATGACAGTTTTAATACTACACCCTAAATCTGTACAGTATATTACACTGTAAATACATACTGTTGGATATGTGGATGACTCATTAGCTGAAATATTGCAAAGAAAAAGGAAAAAACACTTTGAAACACAGAAAACTGAAATAATAAACCAGAGCTGAAACAGTTAAACAGAAAGTTGCTGCTTTTCTCTTTCTGTAGACCGATTTTTTTTTTGTGTGACTTTTTTAGACATTTGAAAAACACTCTTTAGGCTCAGGATAATTATGATGGTCAACTATTATCTGACATTTTTCAAAGATGGCGGGTAATCTAGAAAAGGATCTGGAAATAATTGTTGAATGGACAACCTTACATTCCCTAAGATATTTGTAGTGGCTTTTTAACCTTATCACTGAGGGGTGGCAACGGGAGAACTAGGTTCGGACGCGTGTTCCAGATGACAAAATAATATCAATACGGAGTATATCTTCCAATCCATCGATCCATTTTTTTTACCATGTTGATTGTATCCGTATTGCCTTTCTGTTACCATTTAGATACCAATATATGCATGCCAGGCAGTCACGCTGAATACAGACAGATTTAACACACAGCTCATCGACACGGCGTCTGCCGACACGGTCGAAAACTGTTTGCTACTGTCCCTCACACCTGCATCTGATCACCCAGTGATTACATGTAGGCCTATACACACTCACAAGTGAATAATCCATGTTGTGTTAATTGTTGGAACTTGTGCAGATAAAATACAAACAAAGACACATGCATTATGGCTCCAACAGTATTGAAGTGACTGTTATTTTGTATATTGATTGTTGTTTTATCTTAATGCGTGCATATGTAAATGTGTCTGTTGATTGTATATATATACTGTCAGAGGTCGCGTTAACCGAATATTTTCCGTCTATGACAGATTTTTTTAACAATGACGGAAAAATCTGAAAGCAGTCCGTCATTTTGACGGATTAGAACAAACTCGGAACACCGCCAAAGTTTCCCCGCAGCGAGGCTCCGGTGTTAAGCATGCATGCCAAAAAGGAAATGATACCGTTTCCAAACCCAACTTTGCCCTACAAATCATTGAAATGTCTGTGAGTTTTGGCTTTACGCTGTGCTCACTCCCGCGAGGTGCAATGGGTCTGTATAACACGGCGCTAACAGTTCACGAGCGTGCGCCCCGCCCCCCGTTGATAGTTCACGACTGTGCTCTGTCTCCTCCTCCTCCCCCCCCCCACCTCCGTTGACCTCTCTCAATTCTCTCTCTCTCTCCCTCTCCCTCTCCCTCTCTCTCCCTCTCTCTCATATTTGTATGATTGTATTTTTGTATTGTTGGAAACGTATTTCGATCTGTCTGTCTGTACACACAAACTGAAAGATTGACATTAAAAGTTGACTTTGACTAAAAAGCAGAAATATTTNTTGTATTTTTGTATTCGGGATTGTTGGAAACGTATTTCTATCTGTCTGTCTCTACACACAAACTGAAAGATTGACATTAAAAGTTGACTTTGACTAAAAAGCAGAAATATTTTTGAATTGAAGCCCTAACTAAAAAGCTGTTTTTTAAGTACTATTATAAGAGTATAATACCGGACCTAACATAGAAAATATTAGCAAGCATTCAGCTGCCGCGTGCTCTTCCATGAACTCTTGATATGTTCCCCTCTCTCACTTTGCGGTTCCTGATAGACTCACTATCCAGAGTTTCGGGTGCGCGCACTACTTCCTCCTTTCCGCACTGTAACAACTCAAATCGAAACTCCAGTTACTCTCCACTCTCCGTCGTATAAGAGAAAAAGTCCCCAAGTTCAAAATACCCAGTCAGTCCCACCCCTTAGCCTCTAATACAACGTATGTCTTGGAGAGCTAGCAAATCAAAGCGCGAGCATAATAAGGCCCTTTGTGAATACGTAAACAAACGACTGTACGAGAATCCACCCCGAGAATTACATCATCACATTTTCAGATGATACAGCCATCCTTGTCTTAATGCACAAAGGCAGCAGTTCATCGGCTTATCACTCTGAAATAGAGAGATTTGTGCAGTGGTGTGATTTTAACCAACTTTTGCTGAATGTGAAGAAGACTGAGGAGATGGTGTGTGGGACCCAAAGGGAGTGGGTGACCATAGGTTATCCACAATGAACCCATAGCTCAGGTCAGCTCCTATAAGTACCTTGGTGTTCACATAGATAGTACACTCAGGAGGAAGGCGCATGTTGAAGGTCTGTGGTCTAGACTTCAACAGCGGTTGTATTTTCTGTGGAGACTCTGGGCTTTCGGAGTCGAGCAGAAGCTCATGTTACTGTTCTATCATGCAGTGTTGGAGAGCATCATGAGGTATGGTATCAATGCCTGGCACGGTAACTTGACAGTGGAGTCAAATTAATGAAAATGATGGGGGTTAAAAAAAAACCATCTCTCTAAAACATATACGGGCAGTCCATTATCAGACAGGCAAAAACAATGTGTCTGATCCCACCCACATACTCCACCCAGAATTCCAGCTCCTACCTTCTGGTAGAAGATTCAGGGTTCCCAAGAGCAGGCTGAACCGCTATAAGCACTCGTTCCTACCTATGTCCATTAAGCTTCTTAACATTCACATGAAATTAAATGTAATGAAATGTACTTTTTAAATGTTGGCCTTGAGGGTTGTGCAATAGGTCGCCATTGTCAGTATGTGCGTCTGTGTATTGTGTTTGTTCAAACGGTGTATGAGTAATTATATGTGTATGTCTCTTAATGTTTATTCACTAGCAGGAACCACATACACATATAATTACTCATACACCGTTTGAACAAACACAATACACAGACGCACATACTGACAATGGNAGAGCCCATAGAGTTAAAGGTGTTGGCCGTTAGCTGTAAAAATCCATAGATTAGCCGCACCGTTATATAAACCGCAGCGTCGAAAAATAGGGAAAAAGGCGCGGCTTATAGTCCGAAAATTACGGTAACCTAAAATCAAACTGCCGCTGAGGCACCAGTTAGCGGATCTTACGCAGGACAAAAATCTCCCTTTGTGCATTTTATTCCAATAACAAAGTACAATGAACAGATTTCCTTTATTTCTTTTCCTTTAGCCTTTCCTTCTGGTGGAAACTCAAAACACATTTGTACAGATTAGCCTTTCAGGAAGCAAACTCCCGCTCTTTCTCAATGCATTTCAACCTGTCATCAAATGGTGTGTTGAATTTGCATTATCCCCCTTTTAATGCACAATTTCATCGTTTTACCTTTGATCAAAATACATTCTTACATGTCTACTCTCTGCTATTTGTAGTTAGTTTGTTTGTCTTTTAGTGGTAACTGTATTCTGTGTGATATCAATTGTCTGTGACATGTCTATGTGAAGCACCTTGAACTGCACTTATTGTATGAAAGGTGCGAAACAAATAAAGATTATTATTATTATATTATTATTAAGAGTCAAAGTCAACTTTATTGTCAAGAATTCCACATGTGTTATACATACAGAACATTCAAAATACCGTTTCTCGCAGTCCCTCAGTGTGACACATAAAACAAGATAAGAAAAGGGCCTAGGTTAAAGGGGTATAACAACTAAGTAGTAATAAGTACTAGGTAATAAATATATTTAAAACAAAAAAACACAATCAACAGAAACATGAATGTGACATTAGTGCAAGTATTCCTTAGAGCAAAAAATAATAAGTGATGTTCGAAGTACAGTAACAGCAGAGATGAGTAGAAAAGTGATGAGGGAAGTGTGTGTGTGTGTGTGTGTGTGTGTGTGTGTGTGTGTGTGTGTGTGTGTGTGTGTGTGTGTGTGTGTGTGTGTGTGTGTGTTAAAGTCTAGGTCCATTTGGGGCAGGGGGGAAAGATGGGAGGCAGGGAGAGAGAGAATACATTTACTTTAAGCAATAACAACAAGAAAATACATAAATAAATACATATATAAAGCGATATCCAGCTGCAGCAGGGATCTTCTTTCTTCCTGTAACCACAGTGTTTTTAAATGTTTTCCTGCAGCGAGTCTCAGATAAAGTACGACCACTACCTGGTTCCCAACGCTCTGCTGGAGCACGGCCTGCTGTGTCTGGAGCAAGGCAGGAAGTCTGAAGCCATCCGACTGCTAGAAACCGCAAAGTAGGTTTTTAAAATGGATGATTCTGCATTTTTACACTCAGTGTTCACCCACCAGTCAGCACTTTAGATATTGTTTTTTTTAAATGTCTTCATCATAAATCTTATGCGTGGTAGAATAAACAGCAAGGTTTGCTTTCACTTTAGTGTTTGTGATTTATGGGTTTATTATTATACACACGGATGTATTGCTAGAAAAAGCCTACAGGGCACAGGTAGAGGGGCCCAATTAGTCAGGGGCCCCTCTGGCTTAACTTACACAATATTACTCAAAGAGACACCAAACACTAAAAACAGATTCAAAATGAACCAATAGAGAAAGGTTCAGTAAAAAAGAGACTCAAAAGGACTACAAATATATACAGAATGACTATTAAGAGACTTACATTGACTATAAAGAGACACTCAATGACCGTAAAGGGATGCATAACAACTACACCAAGACATCAAATGGTCACAATAATACAGAGAAGGACTGAGAGATGCTCAATGACTACAAAGAGACACACGGAGGCCAAACACCTCTAAAGTCTGGGTGTCTGTCTGGGAGTATACAGTAAAGTGCTCATTATAATACTCATTTGTGAAATAATAATTTAGATTGACCTCTGATCAGAGAGGGCAAAAGTACACACATCCTTTACTCAAGTAGAAGTACAGATACTCGTGTTTAAAAATACTCTGGTGAAAGTAGAAGTACTGACTAAGCTTCTTTACTCAAGTCAAAGTAAAGAGGCTTTGAAATGTACTTCAGTAAAAAGTACCCATAACTATCAGCTGTTTTAAAGAGTACCTGACCTCCCTTTATATTAATAGAACAATAATGTCATTGTTAGCTAATGAATGTTTCCATGCTGAACAACGGCAACATGACAACGTTTTCATTGGTCCCTCTTCTTTAGAGAAGACCAGGAAATGATGGATACACGGATCGTGTTCAAATCAATAGGCACGCAATGACTCTAAATAATAATGATCACGCCACCAAACACACATTCAGACTAAAGGAACCAGCCTGTTTGGAAAATGAGAGAAGTAGAAAGTACAGGTATTTGTGTTCAACATGTAAGAAGTAGAAAGTACAGGTATTTGAGTTCAACATGTAAGAAGTAGAAAGTACAGGTATTTGTGTTCAACATGTAAGAAGTAGAAAGTACAGGTATTTGTGTTCAACATGTAAGAAGTAGAAAGTACAGGTATTTGTGTTCAACATGTAAGAAGTAGAAAGTAAAAACTTGTCAGAAAACTAAGTAGTGGAGTAAAGTACTGATACCAGAGACATGTACTTAAGTACAGTAACAAAGTATTTGTACTCCACTACTTCCCACCTCTTTTCAAGGTTCAAGGCCTTTATTAGTCATACGTACACAGCTACAGTGTAGTTATGACGATGAAAATCTTAGGTCACAGACTCCTCCAACAGTGCAACACAATAAACCAGAAAAACAGCAAAAAATAGTTATCTGATTTGATTTTAAATGTTTATTCTGTTTCAGGCAAAACTACAAGAACTACTCGATGGAATCGCGGACTCACTTCCGGATCCAGGCAGCTATGCACAAAGCTAAAGGCGTGGCGGAGAACGGCCTCCATTCCCCGTGTAGCCCTTAACGGACAGAGGAGGGCCCGCCAGAGCAGACACAGCCTTCTGTCCTCCCACAATGCAACACTCAGCCCACCCCTGCCCACATTATAAGGGCAGGTGATCTGTTTGGGTGCTGCCTTCTCTTTGTGTGGCCCTGGGTGGCTAAGGCAGGTTTGCTTAGTCCTCTTCTAGAGATATATTATGATGAAATCGGCTTCTTAGAGCGATTTGAAATAGAGACAAATGTGCCTATATTTATGAAACATTGCTTCTATAGCAGGCTTGTTCATCCAGCACTGTGTTTCCACCCATAAGGGGCGCACTCGGGTGGGAAACCAGCTGTGAAGTAAATAAATACTGCTCCTCAATTATCCCCAGAATAAAAACGTGCCCAGTTTAGGGTGCAGGGTTGGATCTAATGGAGTACCAAACACCAAATATATAGATTACTCATGCAGACTCCACCCAGCACGAGAACAAATGTACCTGGTTGCTAAAAATGCTCTCACACCCACTTTTAATTCCTGTAAAATGGAGATTGACGATGAAAATGACAAACAATTATGTGTTGACATCATGCAACTCACCGCATTAACCATGTGACTGTTTTGTACCATGTTATTTGATACATTCTGGTTGACGGGTTTCATCTATATTTAGATATTTTAACAAAACCAATATGACCTATTTAGAGAATATACATTATTTATATGTTGGTTTCACTTTTTACACTACATAAGTTTTAAGAGCGAGGGATTGTTTATTTTACATTTGTCTTCCTTTACTTGAAACCTTTTGAAACCTGTTTTCATATGTTCATTCAGTCTCCTTCTGTATTAACCCTTACATGTAATGGCTTTTGCACAGAGCTTTGTAAATCAGCCAAGAGTGAAAAGATCATAAATGCAAAGAGCTGTTCTTTACATTGATATATTGTAAATGGCACCTTTTACACGAATTGTCCCGTTTTAAGAGGGCAGATGAATGCGTCTTTTAGAAAGGCAGATCCCTTCTTTTCTCCTCGTGGCGTTTGGGACGGGCTCCAGCGGTACTTCAGCTTGAACAAACGGGCCATTCACCCCGAGCAGAAAAAGGACCTTTGCTCGTCCGCCTGTTGCATCTTTAGTGAGTGAAGAAGCTCCGAACACAAAGCCAGAACAGTCTTCACCGCTTTGAGAACATCCTCCGCTGCTCCTCCTCCATCAGCCATGCTCGACAACAACCATCTATACAAGGACGTGAACATAATAACAACGCTACTTTGTCAAAAAAAAAAATCTGTATATGAAAAAAAACAACGTTTGTAATGACTGATGATACGACAAAAAAGGGTCACCTCTAATCATGTTAGTGGGGAGGTTTCGCTAAGTGTCCAAAACCTAGAAACTAAGATGGTGTCTCAAGTGTTGGAATTAGAGAAGTGTTGATTTATTCATGATTAGAGTAACGTTTGGGATTCAAGACGATGACTAGGTCGGTTTCAATTTATTTTATTGGTGAAGGAAATCTACTTTTAATTTTGTTTTAACCTATTTCCAAATTATATTTCATGGTCTGATAATTAACTTAGCGAATTTTACATTTTCCCCCCTTTTGGTTTTGCAGAAATAGCTGAAAGAAACTCTTTCAAATTGTGATGTGGCATTGTGATGTTTACAATCAGCGTATTTTATCGGGCACGGCTACTACTGTGCAGAATGACATTCCTGTACAGACTGAATGTTTCTATTGTAATTTAAGATGAAGCAACTTAAAAACAAACCATCTCATTTTGTGTTGTCTTTTTTGTCACCCGTGCACCACAAAGAAAAGCACCAAATACAAAGTGCTCTGCACTGAAGGTTATTATTTACAGAACAAAGAGGCTCTGCAAATATTTGCACACGTTGTTCTCATCTAATCCTCTAGAAACAGTGAGTAGGCCAAGTAATCTCTTGTTGATATGCAAGCAATGGATAAGAACACAAGGGATATTGGAACAGTGGGTCTGAATCATATTGATTTGAAAATAAGCAAAGAAAACAAGCAAGAAAACCCTGAAATATCAGATTCAGGATAGCTTTTTGATGTTTGAAGTGAAAATGTCAACACTTGTTGTCCTTAGTTTGAATCTCTGGTTTATTGCACTTATTGTAAGTCGCTTTGGATAAAAGAGTCAGCTGCTATGTAATAATGTAATGGTTTTATTCCCAAGTACGTTTACACATACAAGGAATTTACTTGGTGAATACAAAGACACAGAAAGAAATGAAAGGAAGCAAATATTACAAAATATTTATTTAAAAAACTATTGTAACAAATAAATAAAGACAATATTTACACAACATATAAATATATTCAATGAAGAGAGCTGTCCAGATTTAGAATATCGTTTAATCATGGAATATTTTTTAGCCCTACGATGATCACAGCATAATTTAGCAAGAGTCATTTATCGATTTCCTCTCTGTTTACGTTTTCAGCGAAGGGCAATGTGTTCTTCTGATTGGCTGCCACAAAAAGATCCAAATGGTAACTAATAGCTCATTGGTTCGTGGGTACAAAGGGGCGGGGCTTCTTGTTGCTACATCACCACCTTTTTTCGTTTATCTTCAGCAGCTGCTGCACTCGGGAAGTCCCTGACAGCCAGCAGGGAGCTTTCTCACAGAGAAAAACCGAGAGATAAATGAAGAATTTTAAGAACTTTTCGCTGGCTCGTGCACATTTAAAATCCTGTAAGGGTTGTTTTTAGCTTTTAAAATAACCGAGTGCTAGCTCATTTTGCATGCTAGCTCCTCTTTGTGTGGCTAGTAGCTAGCTGAGGGATGTGTTGTCGTTGTTGTTGTTGTTGTTGTTCTCTGGGAGAGGAGACACGTCAGATGTGCATGGAGAACCGCCTTCTAATCTGCTGCTGACATTATCCGGGAGAAGTACCCGCTGTGTAACGCTGGTAAACACCGAGAGAGAGGAGAGTTTTTGTTGGAAGGAGATGGGAAACTGTCTGAAATCTCCCACCTCGGATGATATTTCTCTGCTCCATGAATCCAGCTACGGAGACCCCGACCAGGAGCCACCGCCCCCCTATGAGGTAATTTCGAAACAGCCATAACATGACGAGTGTTTTAGTGTCTAAGGATTACAAAAATAATAATTATAGGGTGAGATTCAAAGGCTTTATTGTCAGTGTTGTTTATGGACTAAGTAAATTGACTCGTGATACAAAGGCTTTATTGTGTAATGCACAGTAGATTCATTGTTCAAGATTCAAGGCTTTTATTGTAATTTGTACACAGCTACAGATTAGTTATGATAATGAAGATCTTAGTTCACGGGCTCCTCCAACAGTGCAACACAATACAACAGATATTAGCGCAATAGAATAAAATAGAAATTGTGCAGAATAGTCTACAAGTAATTGGAATATATATAAGTTACAACCAGATGAATGTTATGGATGTTCTTTCAAAAGTGCAGGTGTTTAACAGTCTTATGGCCTGATATCCGTAGATATGGTAATGGGAATCTTAAATCCTAGGATAAATCCAACAACATAAATATATATAAGACATTAAACATAAAAAAATAGTGCAAGAAAAAACAGAATGACATGAAAAAAGACATAATGGTCCAAGTAGGTTGCAGGGCTAAGACAAATGTATTCATGACCGAGACAAAAATTGAAATAGAATAAATACTGTATGCTTTAATACTAAATAAATAAAAATGTTATGTGTGGCAGACTTGGCCCTGTGTGCATATATAATTAAATCTTTATTGCCCCTAAGGGAATTTGCTTTGCACAAAGAGGACAAAAGAGTATCAGCAACAACATCATAAACCAACTATGATTAGCCTAATATATACATTATTTGGGAATTAAATAAAGGACATCAGTTGCAAATGTATAAGGTTCAGACAAATGACCCCAAAGTGATCGGAGCTTGTTGAGCAGCTGTAGAAAATGTCTGATCTGACCCGTCACTGCCATAATACTAATCCGCTTTAATATATCCGAAGGTCCATTCAACGCGTACCCCTTCCCTGAGTACTTAGTGTGATTTACACAATATCAACACTTTCAATAGTCTTCATTCTCACAAACTGAACCGTGTATTTATTGTTCATTTATTATTCCGATTGAATGGAGAGGAACTAAGCAACACTAATGTCTATTATGGCTTTTACTGTGCAAACAAACCCAGCTCTCCCTTTAAACCTAGGAGTTTGTAGTAACTATAACCCTTTTCTCAGCTGTTTCTCTCGCGGATCCCCTGCTCTGGTTGTCTGGTGTCCGTACTTCCTGTATTTGATCATTTGCATACAGACCAGGCCATGCTGTGGCTGTACATGTCATGTATGGTGTTACACTTCTCTTGTTTATATACTTCTATGTTGGTAGGCGTTATGCAAGGCCTTGGCACTGAGGTTCCCTGTTATTAGGTCAAGCCAAGCCTTATCTGTAGATTTAAGATAAGTGGTTTTTTCAGCATGGGAAACCAAAGGTGGTCTCAGGTCAGGAGAGCCTATTATTGTAGAAATCGTACTTAATTATATAAGTTTTACCAACAGAGAGGAACACATAAAGGGGACAATATGACCAACTACTGAGACAGTCTAAGTGTGGTATCATTCAAAGAGAAAATACATGTTTGATTCTCTATTTATATAATAGATATGAGCTGAAGATTTCAGATGGATGTCAAACACAGATACTATAACTGGCTGACTGGTGTTCGGCAACGATGGATATATCTTTAAAGAGTTCCTATTATGCTTTTCTTTTTAGGTTTCCCTTTCCTGTACTGTGTTATATAGGTTTTAGTGCATGTAAATGATCTGCAGAGACTCAAACCGGGAGTTTCCCCTGCCTGAGACGCCTCCATCGGACTCCTTTGTTTATATCAGGAACATAGTGACATCACTGTGTAACACTTGAGCTTCTCTGTTTGTTTGTTTTCAACATCAAAGCAAGTAACCTTGTCACAATAGATGCACAAAATACAAATATGAATATGAAAATGAGCAGAATAGGGCTGCTTCATTCTTTTTGTTTATTTAAGTTGGACTTAAAAAGCTGAAATCACATCGACAGGAGGACACAGAAAACCAAATTATAGTTTCTAATAACTTTGTTTTGATATAAGTTAATTGTTTCACATATGTTATGGTGCACATGGTAATTGAATACCAGTATGCCATTGGAGCTCTAAAAGACAATTAAGTGGTGACGTTTTCATAATTAAAATATTTTTCAAAATTCTTTAACTACACTTCTGACCATCTGGACGAATAAATATGAGTTAAACCTGAGTGTTTGCTTTGACAAAAGAGCAACAAACCTAGGTCAGTGCATGCTAAGCAAATACTTCCTGGTCTGTCCAAGTTATCAATCATTTCTGTTGTCATGTATCATCGGTGGAATGACGCATCACAGTCAGCCACAGATGATATGAAAGCAGGGAGTCGTTGTTTGTCATGTCTGGCACACAGCGGGGTGTAATTAGACCAAAGCTCTGGTATCATAGAGGGGTGATGGTGTAACAAACATTGCTCGGTTCCTTTGGAAGAGCTTTCCCTGAGAAAGGCTGAGAAAACCCGTGTGAGTTTCACAAGAGGGTTAACTGACTAGTTAAAAGCTACTTATAAAGAGCTCTTTCAGCCGGCCAGCTCCTTCTCCCTGGTGACCGCAGTAATCAGCACCTTCACCATATGAACCCAGGCTGAGGAAACACATTTCCTCTGTGCTTGCACTTCAGATTAACCCACTTTGAGAAAGGGGGCTAAAGGCTCCACTATACTCGACTTGAAGTTGTGGACTAGGGCTTCACGATTTGGGGAAATTACATCACATGTTACTTGTTAGACGCTTTTACCCAAACTTACATACTCATTACTGTGGACAATCCCCACAGGAGCAATTTGGGGTGAACGACATGCTGACTGCAGTGGGGTTTGAACCTCCTGACCCCAACAACGACGCACAACCCACTTCGCCACACGCCTCCATTAGAAATAAGAAATAACGCGATTTTTCTGACAGATATTGCGATTCGATTTGCGACATTTCTTTTTAAGCGACCCAACGGAAGTTTATTGTAAAATGCGGCTAAATCTCCGGCTAGGAAGGTTGCATCAACGTGCTCCCGTCTCTAGCACCCCCGCAGCCCGAGCTACGAGTGAAAGAACTAAACTTACATGAAACTTCCGTTGGGTTGCTTTAAAGTCAAGCTTCAGTTTAAGATTACTAACCTGACTCAGATGCTTTGTTTCACCAAACCATCTAGGAAAGCTCCATTGGAAGCCATTTGGAAAAGTATTTCAAAAATACTTGGCAGGTGATTGGATCAATCTGTCTATCACCTACTATCATGGGCCACTTCTGATTGGTTAACAATGACTGGTACATGTGTATCACAGCACTTCAGATCGGTGTGGATGACTGACACACAAGAAGAACAAAAATAGTAAAACACATATGGATATATATTTTCTACACATATTATACACACATATCATATGTACTTGGGGTCATTTTTGTATTAGAACATTTACACAAACACGAATGGAGATACGGGCGTTGAGAGGTGCTGACCGGGACGAACTGACCTCCACATCTGATAAGTTCATTAGTTGTTCACGGACGGTGTCAGTGTTGACTTCCAGTTTCACGTCACATAACGAAAGTGGAGTCTGAGTCACTCTGCAGTCTGAGAGACACCTGGTTCAGCACTGAGGGTTCACACACACCTCCAGAGGCTTTAACCCTTTTTAATAACACAAACTAACTACA